CTCAAACTCTTAGTTAAGATCAAGTACAACAACTTTGAAGATGATCAAACATACCAAATGGGAGAAAAACCTTATAATCTCATAGAATGTTGGCTAGTCTCTATTTCTATTTTTGAAGCCAATCTTCCATCTTTTTGTGTTTACCATTCAAGTGCTCTCAAAATTTTTTTTGTCTATTAAAAATCAAATTTGCTACTAATGTACAAAATATCACTGTGATCCAATAAGGAGATTGTTGCAAATCTTAAAAAATCTTGTTAGCCGTTTAAAATCCAATTTTAAATTGTATAATTGTATCTATTATTTATTTGTTTATGTACATCCATTTGAACAATATCTGTTTATATATAAATTAAACAATCAATATATTTTTTATACAATAATTATTTAAATCTTTTGTTAATTCCACCTCTTTGTAAAATCCACATAAAATATACGACATTTGATTTATATATTTTGATAAATATAATTTAAAAATATTAAAACCAATATATATGTATATTATTGGATTAATTCCAAATTTGTGATATTATTCAATTGTTAGTTTAATAGAATGGACTCTAAAAGAATAAAATATAAACCTAGTTGATCAAAACCACACAAGACAAGCTATAACTGTACCTCAAAGGTTACAATGATGACTTTTACACCAATTCTATTTTTTATAACTATTTGTAAATAATACAATCACTATTAACCATTAATCCAGATACTTAAATTAATTATATATATAGATATAATATTTTGAAATGAACTAAAATCAAGTATCTTATCATATATTAAATTTAATATATATATATATATATATATATACACATTACGAATCAATTTGTTTTTTTAATTTGAATAAAACATCATTATGAATTAAAATTCTCATAAATTTACTTCATTATATTGATGCATGTTATATTTTTAAAATTATACATATTTATAAAAGATTTCGATTCAAATTATTGAATTTGAAATATTTAAAATACATAATGTTATTAAAAAATATTATTATTAATATAGGATGTGCTAAAAAATATTATTTTTAAAATTTCAGTTATACAAAAAAATTAAATAATAGATATAATTTTTTTAAATTATTTTTTAATTTATTTATTAAAATTTTATTTATATTAATCTCAAATGGACCAAAAAAAATTAAACAGTTATTAAATATTTTAAATACAAACATATGTATATATATTACTTGTATCATAATTAAATTTTGATTTTAAAATATGTTCTTATGATATTATTTCAAAGTTTAAATAAATAATTTAAAATATAACAAAAAATAAAATAAATAAATTATATTTTAAAAACTTTGAAATATTTTTGGTCGTTATATCATAATTTCTTTACAAAACTCGTTGTGGTTTTTTTGTTGTTTTATTGTTATGCTTCTGTTTTAAATTTTCATGCAATCTAAAATAAAAATTTATTAAAAAATATCTTTTATGGTCATGGATATATTAAAAAAATATTCTTCAAGAAATTTACAAATAATCATTTATTTTTCAAACATCAAAATTTAAAAACTTGAACAAGATTCTTAATAATCTTTGTAGAATACTTTATTTAGAAGTGTAGACCTTGTATTATTATAATAATAAAGAATACTAACTACAATTTTTGCCTCAAACTTTGTCTCTATACATGCTTCATGTATTTAATAAACAAGAAAATAATACCAAACTCTCTATTGTTTCAATTTCTAGCCTGTCTTAATAAATCAAAATCAAAAAATATAAAGAAAAAATGTTAATTATTATTTTTATGTATGATCAAGTCTTAAAGAAAATTAGTATAGAACCAGGATTTCAAAACTATATTATATTTTTTTTAAATAAATTGATTATAATACCTATCTTACAATGTATAGAAGGGTTTTTTTAGAAATAAATAAATTTAATTTTAAGTTGGAAGAAAAAAATATATATATAATTTTTATATTTTTAAATTTAAAAAAATATTATTTTTAAAATATTTTAAAAGATTATTTATAATTTTTTTATATACTTGATATTTATATGAAAAATTACATTATGATTTGGAATGAATTCAAGTCTAGTTACATTTTAAAATTAAGTTCAACAATAATGAGTATTTTTATTTCAATACGTGTCTGGAATTGTTATTAAACTTTCTTAATTGTTATTTATTTGAGTAGCATAGTTATCTAGTTTATTAAAAAAAAATTAAGAATCTTATCTGAAAATATAATCCTGTATGAAAAGAATGCAATGCAATTAATTGCCAACAACAATTCATTCCTTTAAAATCAGGAAATAATTATTTTCAAGTTAACATATAAAAACTTAATGTAGTATTATTTGATTTTTTTTTCAAATATGTTAATAGATCCTCTTATTCTTAAAGTTAGAAAAAATTCTTGCATGAATTTTGAAAAAGATTGAGAAATTTTATGTATTCTAAAAAATATGCATCACCACATGCATTTGGAGTCCAATATACCTTTTCATCGATCAAACATTAAAGTACATTTTTTCTAGAAGAATGAATTATTTTTGGTAGTAATATATTAAAAGAAATTAAATAATATAAAAAAATATTATTATATATTTTCTTAAGGAAGGAGTTCTTGGTGTTGACTTCATAGACTTTTTTAACCACGTTCATCTAGTTCTCTAAAACCAGTTCAAATCTTTTAACTTAAGCTATTCATAATTTTGATTTCTGTATTGTTAAGTGCTTTAAATAAACTATTCATGATTAAATTATTTATCCAAATAAGTAAAATAATTACTATTAAAAAAATATTGAAGCAAAAATCAAGTGTCTTTATTTTTCTTTATTTGAAATAAATATTATTATTATATAATTAAAATTTATATTTTATCTTTTTAAGTATTTTTTTTGTGTCAAAATTTTGATAGACTTTGATACATAATTATATTTTTTTTGAAAAAGATTGTTAAATCTTTTCAATTTTTCTTTAAAACTTTTAATGATAATCAAATAAAGTTCATTCTTTTCTGAATTATATTTTTGTATAATTTAAAAATAATTCTTCTTATGATAATATCACAAATTTCCTATATATATATATATATATATATATATATATATAATTTAATTTCTTTTTTTTCTTTAAATTCCTTTTCCTTTTTTAGAGCCATTTTTTTAGAACCAAGTACATTTTTATTAGGTTTGAGTTGGAATATATATATATATATATATATATTTAGAGAAGATTTTTAAAATTAAATTTTTTTTATTATAAAGTAACATAATATTTTTACTAATTCAAAACAAAGATAATATTTAATATTTTTTGGCATTATAAAACTTTTGTAAGCTTCAAATATTACTTTGAGATTCCTTTAATGTTGTAATTATTTCAAGAAAAAAAATTTATATTGTTTTGAAAAATGCCTTCTTAGATCTTGGTAAGTAAATATGTGTTTATAAATGATAAATTGATTAAAAAAAAAAAAAAAACTCTAATAAGAAATGTTCTATTCTATTTTAACCTCGAACACAAGGTAATCAGTAACATGCATCAAAAATCCTATCATATCATCAAGAATAGAAAATTATATATATGTATATATATATAAAATTTACAAACCCAAATTGAGTGTTGCAATGTACATACCATTATAATGATGCATGAGTGGAATCTGCTTTGCATTCTTTCCAATTCAATAATACAACCTTTAGTTTATCATGCAAGCACATCTATTACAACCCTTCACTTTCACATGACCCATCTTTGTCCATTGTGGCCCCCATAGTTGGATCCCAAAGTGGGAAAAAAAATATAAGAGAAAAAGAGAGAGAGAGAGAGAGAGAGAAGAATAAAAAAAATAGCAACAACAAGAGATGGATCCAACAAAACAAGGAGAGAAAAGAAGCGACATCCACATTGGTGATGGTGGTGTTTGGGTTTTTTTTTTTTTTTTTTTTTTTTTTTTTAATTTTTTGTTGGGAGGGGGTCCCCAAGGAGCGTAGCGCGCCACGCGAGACACGAAGAAAGAGAAGGGAAGAGCTCGGATTGCGAGCTCGCGGCGACAACGCCGTCAGTGGTCCCGAGCGACAGTCACTCCGCGTGGAGCCACGCTGCCACGCCGTCTCAGAAGCAGCGATTGGGATCGACAGGGGGTCACCGAACTCTTTTTACCGTCGCTATTCCATCTGGTTCAGCTTTAGCTCTAGTGACGGTAGTGAGAATTTTTGCAGCTTAGAATTGCATTTCACCTCCCTAACAACTCTCGTTCTAACCAATCGATCAGGTTTAATGCATGCTGGTTGCGTTTAGTCCACTGTTGAATAAATATTGAGTGTTTTGTATTCACGTACTCGCGTGTAAGGGAAGCGAGCGAGCAGGATTTACCTCAACGATAGGTTTTTTATTTGTACCAGGAACTAATGTTGTGGCGCATGATGGGGATCGTTGCTTGTGTGTTCAACAAGAGATCGGAGATGCCGAAACTGGATGACTACTTTTGACATCCGTCACTGCTTTCGTGTTAATGAATTGCACAAATATTGACCGTATCGATTATACACCGTATGTATTCAGTCGGTCAAACTTTGGTGTCATGACCGGCTCCGAATTTCACTCAGGGTGCCACCTTGAGTGCGAAGATCAAAACAGTAGTTCCAAATAACGGATGTAATTTTTTTATATACTACTGAGGCATTTAACAACCTGGGTTTATTTGTCCTTCTTCGGATGCACAATCTGATGTTAGGAATGAAGGGGTCGGGAATGAGCCTCGGGAGAAAGCGAAAGATAAAGGAAAACACTCACTATATTTCTCACAGTATGATTTGACCTATCAGTTCCAGGACTAGAAAGCAGGAAACTATTGAGGCCCGATATTTCCCTGTAGCACTCTGCAAAAGGGCAATGCGTGGCCAACAGGGCTACCACGGAATGGACTAAGCAAAGTAGCTATTGGTATCATGGAAAATGAAGAAGCTCGTAGAATACCCAATGGAGGAAAAAAGCTGTTGCGTCATGTACTCGCCACAACAGTTTTCTATGTTGGTGAAGAGAATCGGACCACTTGGTTCCAACATGTCTGTGTGGATTGGCTCGAGAGACGGAGGTGCCAAATTGTCTCACACTTCGGAGACGTTGAATTGGATGCCGAAGTCAGAGAGTACTGTAGGACCCGATGGGTGTCCATAACCGAATACTGCGTCTGCGCAACAGGACCACCGCGAGAGGTACTTCCTGCAGCCCAGTTAACGGGGTTGGTCGTAGCGCCGTGGACAAGAAAATTATGCGTCCAATCTGATGCGCCACTTCTATCATTTCCGTTTCTAGATCCTGTTTGAGTGTATTCTGTACCTACAGCACACTCAGAGATTGACTGGTATGCATTCACGTCATTGAATTCGAAGCTTCGCAGTTGGAATATTTAACTGCTGGGTATCATTTTAGCGGCGGAGTTTTCTGCAATGGACAAGAAGTCTGTGAATTTGTGTTTTTTCTTTTGGTTTGCAATCTGAGCGCGCACAATGTAGCACATTCAGTTTTCCGGTTCTGAACAGATTCGAGATTTGAATGTTGGTTTTTGTACATTGAATTCTTGAAGGCACTGAGGTTTGTGAAGAATTTGCCAATGTTGCTGAAGCAAGTAGAGTGCTATAACGATAAGAGGTGAGCTGTCTAACCTTGCTCGAGTGTAACTCTTTTGAACTGCTTCTAGTTTCTTGCGAATATTTGATAGGAAATTCTTCTTACCTGAATGAGATCAGAGCTTTCTGGTAATCAGGATTTTAAGGTGTCATGAAGCTGAAGCCTTTCATTTCCATAGTTCGCAGACGAAAAATTCACATGCTGCAACAAAACTGTGAGAGGAGATTTGGATTCATCAACATACAAAGGGTGAATATCAGTTAGGGATGGATATGTCGACGTTGCTCAATGGATGCAATGCACTCGCATTTACAAGTCGAGAAAGTAAGCTTGTTTCAAGAATTTTAAACCCAAGAGTCGTTAATTGTTCAAGAAAAAAAAAACAGAGTCTCAAGGTTAGTGCCAAGGGCTTATCTCCTAAATGATCATGCCACTGAGAATCATTACGCCGTTCTCGGAGTGTCACAGTTCCCAACAAAGCAAGAAATCAAAAAAAAATACCGGCGACTTGCACTGGACTTGCACCCCGATGTGTGCGATGGCGATCACTGCTCCACGCAGTTTCAGCGTGTCAAGACAGCCTACGAGGTCGCCATTTTTCTTTTCTCACCATAACTTCTCCCCATGATCTTGAACATGGCTTCACAGCACTTCGGAATATGCAAGTGATTCCTTCCATGGCGTGCATGGTCTTCTCTCGGAGATACAGTTTGAGAAAGTATTTGAATCCCCTCTAAAAATCTGTTCTGGGTTGTAAATTTGTGAATTTACAGGCATTGATTCAAAATAGGACGTCCCAGTTCGAAGAGTCAGAAGGCGAGCTTTCCGACGATTTGAAAAGCTTCATGGGCGTTGGTGACGATAGCTGGGCGGAATGGGAAGAATGGATGGGTTGGGAGGGCGCTGGCACATGCGATTACACGAATCACATCAACTCTGCCATCTAAAACAAAATTTCTGCTCATCACTGGTAAACTAATGTTCTTTCTCCGAGATAAGCCAGAGTGCGAGGAAGATAGAGGAGTTTCGAAATCGCAATTTATTCTATTTCGATTCCTACCCGTTGCATACAGAAATTCCGTTGAGCAATCTAATTTATGGTTGTACATATATTGGTTCTATAGAAAGAGGCACGCAACTTTGTACAGGTGCCTCAACATCTTCAAATCTCAAACAGAGCTTAGTTCGGGTGCAGCACTTGCGCGGTAATAGTCTGCAGACAATACTCTTGCATAATAAGATGCCTCCCTCATCTGTTCCACAGCAACGGAACACGTGCTGCGCTGTCCTCTGTTTGCAGTCTTCTTTCATTATTTTCTAGATTTAGAGATCCTCTGCAAACGTTCCAGTCTGGTTCTGAGCGTTGTAAAGGAATGATAAACACAGATGATGTGACTCCCAAATCTGCAGTTCGGATATGTAATTGTAATTCCCCCATACCTTTCGTATCTCGTTAATTGTATGGCGGGAAAGCAAAGTTTGGCGTTGCAACGGTCATATCTCCCAAGCAGAGCTGAATTTCCCCAGAATTTTTCTTTAATGCTTCTATACTCCAAGAACCGTCATTCGCACCATTTTCTCCTCAATTGGGTATTTGTGGAGCGCCACGCCCCTCAGCGATTTTGGGTTCTTTGTTTGAGAAATCTGTGAGTCATGTCTGGACGCGGCAAAGGAGGGAAGGGCTTGGGAAAGGGCGGCGCCAAGCGTCACAGGAAGGTGTTGCGCGACAACATCCAAGGCATCACCAAGCCCGCAATCCGTCGCTTGGCTAGGAGAGGTGGCGTGAAGCGTATTAGTGGGCTGATTTACGAGGAGACTCGTGGTGTCCTCAAGATCTTTCTGGAGATCGTCATCAGGGACGCCGTTACGTACACCGAGCACGCGAGACGTAAGACCGTGACCGCCATGGACGTGGTGTACGCTCTCAAACGGCAAGGCAGAACCCTATACGGATTTGGAGGCTAATTCCCCTGCTCAGTTTTCTGTCGCTAATCTAAGTGGTTTTCTTCTGCGAAACCCTGCGAGAGAAGCTTCTTCTAAGATGTAGTTCACAGAAATGGATATGATGTTTAGATGCCTGTTCTGCCTGGTTTAAGGTGAAGTATCGTATGACGCTAAAGCGATGTGTCTCAGGTCCTCGGCTTTACGATTGCATTGATATTGGGATTTCTGTATCACTAACTGTTATATTTCTGAGTAGGAGAAAACGGAGCCGAGGAATGGGATCTTTGCTAGCTAGTTGTACAGATTAGACGCTCCTGGTGTTGTACATACACATAACAGATTCACAAAGGCTTTATACAATCTCCCGTGTATGTTAAGATCGAATGCTGTCTCGAGTGGTGGGTTTTACGAGTCAATAATTAAGATCCAATTCCGAATCCAACATCGAAGATATTCCGTGACAGCAACCAGCGCCCGTTGGCGTGATCTAGTTTAAGGGTTCAGACGAAGAAGTCCAATTGATAACCTTCCCAATGTATTTCGATGTTGGGAGAGTGTCATGGTGGAAGTCTCTTCATCATTTGACCCAGAGAAGAGATTGTCCTGTTAGCTACCCACTTGATATTGTAACGGCCTCTACTTATCATTCTTTGCTAGGTACACATACGAGCTACACAGTCCTTCAGCGTATGGCAAGGCAAAACCGTGTCTACAGGGTTAATTCATTCTATAATCTTTAATTCATTTTTATTTCCGTTTGAATTTGGAAACAGAAGAAGTAAACCATTTTCTGTTACAGAGGAACCACATGCTTTCAGCTGCACTCTGAGTTTCTGCGTTTAATGACTATAGATCTTGCACATCTTGAATAGTGGGCAGCAATGCCAAAACATGATAGGTGGAAGATAGCAGTGCTGTTCATATGTGCTGATTTGAGTGGACTGTGGGTACAAAATGACCTTGATGTTGAAGTTTGCATACTAGCATGGAAAGAATCCATGTAGCTGCTCCATAGCCTTGATAGTTATGTCATTCTTGTGAAATGTTGCATTTGATGTGTGGAGCATATGAGCTGGTTGGATCAATGAATTGGGATGCAGCAGGTGTGAAGTGCTGGGCTGTGTGGCAGTTGCAGAACATGTAGAGCAAGTACCATCTTGCATGGGGTTGCCAATACATGCAAAATAGTTTGCTAAGTTTTGATGCAAAATAGTCTCAGAATGCTTATGTTTCTAAATCTCCCATGCATCTGTGGAATTGCAGTGGCTTGCACATGCCACATCCATGAAGCTGTCAACAATTTTCATAGGAGTTGATGTATTTATAATGTGTTACTGTAAATTTGATAGCATGAATTATGGTAATGACTTCACAAATGACTTGACTTCAACTACAGTTGATACCACATCTTGTCACAATACTTGTCATAATGTGGACTATTTTATAACTCAATAGGATAAAAATGCTTACTTAAATTAGATTAAAATTAGATTAAAAATTTTATATAAGTTAATTTCATGTAAGTTATTTTTTAAAAATAAATAAATAAATAAATAAAATAAAATAAATGGATACATTCTTCTAAAATCAATGTTATTTATACATATGATTAAAAAATACATATAAAAAGAAGATTTGTAACATCAATAATAATTTAAAGTTTTTTATATCAAATTTTGTACGATATAGAAATTCAAACCAAAATGTGAATTTCTATATCGTACAAAATTTGATATAAAAAAATTTAAATTATTTTAAATAATCTTAAATTAATCTTAAATAAGCTTCTTCTAAGTTATAATAGGCATGCAAACAAGGCAATAATGACTTTAATGTTTATAGAAAATAAATCAAATGGATTGGTTTTAATAGAATGTGCTAAACATAATCAATTTATTAAATAAAAAAGATGATCATTTTGGTTAGTGAGTTAAAACAGATGGTGCTTATACTATTTTATATTATTTTATATTTAAATCTATTATTAAGGATAAAAAAACACCATATTAAAAAATAAATGTATTCAATTACAAAACTGATTGTGTAAATACATGACAAAAATTACACATATAAAAATATTATTTTTAAGATTTTCAAATGACAATTATGTGTTTGTATTCTATATAATATTAAAATAATATAAAAAAAACTGATATAAATATTGAATAAAAACACATATTTAACATAAATTCACCACTATAAACAAACAAGATATTTAGCATAAAAATAAAAAATTTGATTTATTAAAATCATAATATTTAATAGTATTTAAATTATTCATACAAGCTTATGTTTAAAGTATTTTTTTAAACATTTTGTCATCATACATACTATATCTATATATAAGTATAGATATAAAATTAAATTTAATTATAATAAAAAATATATAATAAAAAATACATATATTTAAATAACATATATAAATATATATATATATATAAATAAATATATATATAAATATATATATATATATAAATAAATATATATATAAATATATATATATATATATATATACATAAAATACATACAACATATTATTATATTAAAATTTCTCTATACATACAACATATTATTGCTTCTAAAAACAAATAACTAAAGTAAATTTGCTGGTTTCATTAATTTTTAATCTTTTATAAACTATTTGTTCAGTCCATAATCATTTTTAGGTTTTAATTTTTACTTTAAGTTTTATAGATATTCTTTTAATTTTAAAATTTTTCCTAATGTAAAAAAACGTAATACATATTATTTTCTCAGAATTAATTGTAAATTAAAAAAAATGTATATAATATACATCGACTAAAACTTTATACTAATATTTTGTCTGTTCTTATGTTATCAAAAATATTGAATGTTAAAATTAATATATATATATATATATATATATATATATATATAATTCATTTATAATAGAATAAAATTTAAATATGCACAAACATTTTAAATTGAGATTGTAAAAAACACCTAAAAGAATTACTTTTTTGATTTTGATTTTTATTTTTTTAGAATTTATTTTTACAAAAAAATATATTTACAAATCTAATAAATTAATTTGAAGGCATAGATAAGTTATTGCACATTTTACAAAAACAATTTGTATAAATATAAAAATTCAAATTTATTCATAGTATTTTTAAAATTGTGTTTTCAAAAAATAATATTGTATTAAATTTTCATATTTTTAATTATTTTTGTAAAATAAGAAACAAGTTTTAAACTATTCCTTGCTTTGATGCATAAAAGATCATACTTCAACTACTTAAAATAATTTTATTTGATTTAAGAGTTTAAAAAAAATCATGAAAGTTTTTTATATTTATAAAATTAATCTAAAATTAATAAATAAATAAGTAATTGGTAGTTATGTCATATTTATTATAAGACTAATATTGTTAGGAACATAGTCCTTAGACCTTTCTAGAGACAAGTTTCTAGAACCTTCTAGAAAGAAGTCTCTAGAAACTTCCAGAAGATTCCTTAAATATTCTCTTAGAATATTCTTTAAAGATTCCCTAAAGATTCTTTGAAGATTCCCTAAAGATTCCCTTAGAAGGCTCTAGAAGATTCTTAGAATATTCTAGTAGATTCTAAGAAGTTACTTGAGAAGCTTCCTAGCTCTTAGGTAGTTGCTCGAGAAGCTTCATAGTTCTTGGGAAGCTTCTTGATGCGCTTCCTTAGAACCATAGGCCAGTAGTATATATAGGAGTCGAGGCTGAAGAGTTCTTCAGTCTCGACAACGCATCTCTTGAAGCTTTAGCTCAATTCTCCTGGCGTTACTCTTGTACTCATCTGATAATCTAGTTCTTGTCATTTCTTCTTGAACTTCTTGTTTAGATTTCTTGTTTGTATTTTTGGTCCGTGACAGTTTGTCGAGACTACCTTTATCTTAATATCAGAGCTGAATCCTTCTTATTTGAGAGCGGATTACCCCTCTTCTTGAAGGTATTCTAGCGCTTTAGGGGTTGCGGATTACCTTCCTCTAAACTGATATTTTCTCAATCACAATATCAGAGCTTAGTTCTTTGAGGCAGAGAGTGGACTACCCCTTTCCTTGGAGATACTTGAGCATTCTAAGGATTGCGGATTATCCTCTCTTGGACTGATATTAATTCCTTCTTTTTGTTTAGCATAACTAGTAGAAAAGACTGTTAACATCGATTTCAGAGCTTTGCCTTCTTGATAGAGTGCGGATTACCCCTCTTCTCGAAAGCATTGAGGCATTTTTAGAGGTTGCGGATTACCCTCCTCTAAAACTGAAATCGTTTAGTGTTTTTTTTTTCTTTTCTCTTCTCCGAGTAGATTTTAGTGACAGGTAGTGCTACAATTTTTTCCAAGAGACTTAGCAATTTCTTCTTCTCTCAAAATTTTAATCCATCTATTCTCTAAATATGGAAGTAGACCAGGTCATAGACAGTGCATCTCCACAAGTAGACAATAGAGTGGCAACTCTTGCAGATCTTCAAGCTCTTATGAATAGTGTACGAAAGGAGATTGCATTTCTTCGCAATCCAAGTAAAGAACCTCAAATTGATCTAGTGACCGAAGAAGTTAGACGCGAAATTCATAGCCTACAACAAGAGATTATTCGACTGAGAGAAGCAAGACATGTGTCACATACGACCCCTATAGATACTTCAAGGATTAGTATGAAAGAACCAAAAGCGAGTATGCCAGACAAGTTTGACGGAACAAGAGCCAACTTCTGAGGTTTTGTGCAACAAGTACGGCTTTACCTACGCCTATACCCTTCTCGTTATCCGAATGGATTTACCCAGGTTGCTTTCATAGGTACTCTTCTATCAGGAAATGCTCGCTCTTGGCTTGCTCCACTATTGGAGAAGGATTCTCCAATATTGTACGACCTAGAGGCTTTCATAGAGAGACTTACTGCTGCATTTGGAGATAGCGATCGAGAAAGAGTGGCTAAAAGAAAGATACAAAATCTACGACAAGGATCACGTTCTGCTGCAATCTATGCTGCAGAATTTCAACAGCTTACATGTGATCTTGATTGGAATGATAAGGCATTCATGACAGGATTTCGATATGGACTGAGAGATGATGTCAAGAACTTATTGATCACCATGCCTAAGGCGGATACTTTAGAAGAACTTATATCTCAGGCAATTATTTGTGACAACCGCCTCTTTGAATTACGACAAGAAAGACGATTAGGCTGGAGAAATGATGGAGCATTTGCTACATTTTCAAAAGGTCCAGAGAATCATTCCACAGATCCTGAACCCATGCAAATTGATGCAGTACGTTTCAAACCCCTCACAGCTGAGGAAAGGAAGCGACGGTTTGAACAAAACTTGTGTTTATATTGCGGAGAAGTGGGCCATAAAGCTGTAGATTGTCGGAAGAAACAGAAGCCTCAAACAACAAGACTCAGGAGTACAAGCATGCAGAAAAACAAGGACGCCCAACCACAATAGGGACCGTGCGGCTGGACATCTTAACATCCAAAATTAATCAAGGTCCCTTTCTCTCAGCTCAACCTTCAGATTGTTTTATGGTACCTTTACATCTAGGTATTCAAGAACTACAAGTCGATGCTTTATTAGACTCGGGTGCATCCGCTTGCTTTATAGATGAAGAGTTTGCCAAGCTTCAGAATATTTCTCTTGTAAAGAAACTTAAGCCTGTCTATGTAGAAG